AGACTACAACTAGTAGTACTACTGGTACTACTACTACTACTAAAAATACTACTACTACTACTACTACTACTACTACTAGTACTAGTACTAGTACTAGTACTAGTACTAGTACTACTACTACTATTACTACTACTACTACTACTACTATTACTACTACTACTACACTGTTTTTCGGATTAGTATTACAACTACTACTAATACTACTGTTGTTACTGTTATTATTGTTGTTACCATTGTCATTATGATGTTTATGGTTGTTATTATAAGAAACGGCTACACACAGCCTCCGGCAGGCCGCCGCAGCTGCGGCCGCAGCAGCGGCAGCTGCAGACCCTCAGGGGTCGCGGATCTGTGTCTCGATGAAATGCATGCTGGGCAGGGGTTTAGGGTTTAGGGTTTAGGGTTTGGGGATAGGGCCCAGGGCCTAGGGCCGATTCTAACACGAAATTTGCCCAAGCAAATGCTTTGTTGTTTGGGGTTGGGCTCAGGGCGGTTCCGTTTTTTTGTCCGTGGCGTTGCAGTTACTAAATCTCAGGTTACTACCTTCCCGCATGTAAAGACCCACAGTATGCTCAGTATGCGTACACTTGTGGCTCAAATGGAATAGGATACATACTTCTATGTCGTTCAGCAAGAAGTCGTATCCAACACCTCTACAACTATAGCAATCCTTCCAGAGAGCATGGACCCCTACTCGGACCCCATTTCCTTGAGCCTACAATTCTGGTCCCGTATGGCAGCCCAGCCTGAAGAGGAACCCCCACAGCAAGCTAAGCAACTTCGAAGCACTCGTCACGGTTTCGGGGGTCCTAAACCCCAGAATCCTAATATAGGGGCCTTAACAAATATAGATTTGGGGTATTATACGATAGTTATAAGAAGGAACCCCCAAAACCCTATTCTAGTCATTAAGGCCCTAACACTAAACCGGTCCTTCTTGAGAACAAGGTGAGCTCCTCATGCGCTTCAATCCAAAGCAGCTGCGAGCTGAGTTCACTCAGTGCGGCTCCCAGCGAGGCTTTTTCGGTGTTGGGGGTTTCGATGGGATTTAGGTTTACGGTTGGGGGTTTCGACTGATTGTAGAAGTTTTGGATTAAGTTTTAGATGTTTGTTGGAGCGGCTTCCGACTGTTTAGGCTGTGCGAGTAAGGGTTTAGAGTTTGGACAAGTTGTTGGTAGCAGCACAGGTATTTCCACCAAGACCACCTTCAGCATAAGGAGCCCCCTAAACCCCTAAACCCTAAGCCCTAAATCCTAAACCCCTCATTTGCCGGCTGAGGCTTGTGGCTACCTGCTGCCTCTGTGCCTCCACCGGACATAAAGCGTTGCAGATTCGGGCTGAGTGCTTTGAGGCTGTACCTCCCTAAACCCTACACCCTAAACCTCGCTGTGGTTGAGCTCTAAACGAAACCGTCTTTCAAAGCACCGAAGCCCTGAGCCTGCACACCCTAAGTTTTATGAGGGGGCTGATACTACGATTTAGTGACCCTAAACCCTATAAACCCTAAACTTTACCTCTAAACCCCTAAACCCTAAACCCCTACACCCCTAAACCCTAAACCCTCAACCCCTGAACCCCTAAAACCCTAAACCCTCAACCCCTGAACCCCTAAACCCCGGCACCTCTCAGGCTTTACCGCGATCGCATGCACTATGCGGCTATGGCCCGTCCACAGGAGCTGGCAAAGGCGCCCCTAAGGTCTCGGCCTCCGGGGCTTTCATTAGATTTAGGGTTCAGGGTTCAGGGTTTAAGGTTTAGGGTTTAGGGTTTAGAGTTCAGGGTTTGGGGTTTAGGATTCAAGTTTTTGAAAGTTCGGTTTCTTTCGGTTCCGGTTTAGGGGTTTTGGGTCTCGGGATGTCAGGCTCTTGCATGTTTGGAGTTCAGCCAGGGCTTCAACAGAGAAAAGTGCAAGGTTTGGTGAGGGTTTAAGGGACCTAAATACACCCCCAATCCCCAGAACTTCCAACTTTTGCATTTGTACTGGCGTAATGTCGGGGCCTAGATGATGACCAGTACCATTCTTGGGATTTCCTTCTTATGATTATTGTATAATACCCCTCAAACCCTATTCTAATTATTAAGGCCCCTACACCCTACACCCTTATCGTAGCCCTTATATAGAATTCCTTGACAGGGCCCCTTAAAAGGAACCCTAAACCCTAAACCCTATTCTAATTATTGAGGCCTCTACGTTACACGGTGAAGGAAGGGCTTGGGAGCTTTTCGGGGGTTGGGCGTTGTAAGGGTCCATGTACCCAAATAGTATATACATTGGCTCCAAAGTACCTATATAGGGATTACATTAAGGCCAAAGTATATACTATTTGGGTACATGGACCATTAGGGGTACCGTTTATCTGGATGCGATCTGGGTTTAGTGGTTAGGGCCTTTGGGTTTAGGGTTTAGGGTTTTGGGTTTTGGGTTTAGTGGTTTGGATTTAGGGTTTAGGGTTCAGTGTTCCGAGTACGTCGGTGGTTGCCTGTAGCCTCGGACGCGATTACAAATCGCGAGTGGCTCCCCTATTTTTATGGATTTAGGACAAGCAAACAGAAGCCACCCTGGTTTGCCTGGTACCGAAGACTATGCCATGGTTTTCGGACAAAAACTAGCTCAATATGACCAGCCACTACCCTTCAAATATCTTCAAACACGGAATCAGACTGTTCCAAGCCAAAAAAAAAACGCCGTCCGAACCCTAAACCCTAAACCCTAAACCTTAAACCCTAAACCCTAAACCCTATGCCCAAAGTCGACATGACAAGACATGCGCAGGGCCCGTCGTCCCCGCCCCTCACGGCCGCGAGCCGAAAAATGGCTCAGCGCTTCACGCGGAAGATGCAGGATGGGTTGCAGGGTCAAGGCTTAGGGCATGGGGCTTCATGTTTCAAGTCTTGTGCTTTGTGGGTTTAGCGTATGGTTTAGGGTGTTCGGGTAGGGTTTCGGTCACTTGCACCTTTTCTTTTTGTGGGCGGCGGAGGGAGTGTGGGGGACGTGGGTGATGTTGCGGGAGTAAGTAATAAGGCTTAACAGTTTTGAGGAGTAGAGTGGGTCAGAAACCCTAAACCCTCAACTCTAAAACTAAAACCCTGTACCCCCTAATTCCTAAAGCAGACTCCACTGGGTTCTATTTTCAGGCCTTCATGATCAGTTCAGGAATGATCGCGTTGTTTATTGCCGGTTTAGGGCGAGTGTGCATGTTCACGCTTAGGGTTTAGGGTTATGTTTTCAAGCAGCGGTGTCGGGTTTACGGACATGTGATGTCGTGCTCAGAGGTGGCAAGTTCCGTCGCCTTCTTGTCATAACTTGGGGTTTAAGGTTTAGGGGCACTTTGTGGGAAACTTTATGATTTCCCTTCTGGTCTTATACAGGTGCCTATTCATAATCCCTGTAGAGGCACCAAAAGTACAACCCAAAAACATAATCTGTTGCTCCGGAGCTTCACATCCTTCTTTTAACTAACTTTAAATTGGGGGGAAGCCTCCGGAGAGGATGTCCCGGTCTCTTGGATGGTGGGGCGTTGCATGGGGTTCAGGCTTAATGCAGTGGCCTAAATAATTACCAATATCTTTTTTTTGTTTTTTTTGGTGGTCTTTACTACAATTATAGTATAATGTGCCCCGAAACCCTATTCCGGTTCAGGTTTGTTTCGCTTAGGGTACTGTAGGGTGGCCCCGGACCTTTTGTCATCATCACGGCTAATGCAGGGGCCTTCATCATAATTAGAATAGGGTTTTGGGCCCCTTCTACTATAACTATAACTATGACCCCCCCCCCCAAGTTTATGGGTAATTATTTAGGCCCCTACATAAATTACGTTTCCGGCAAGACATTGGGGCTTCTTAAGTTTAGGGGTTCATGTTACGAAGGTTCGAAAAATGAGGAGCTCTCTGCTTGGGGTCTAGATCCGGACCCCTTTATTTCCCGCAAGCCCCACCAACAAGATGGCTCTGAAACCCTCAATCCTAAACCCTAAACCTTAATATAGACTTCAAACCCGTAGAAACTTTAAACCCCAAACAGGCTTCACCAACACAAAACTAAAACTAAATCCTAAGCTTTCAACCCTAAGCCCTGATCGCCGCTAAGCCTCTCAAGCCGGAAGCCCGTGACCGAAGGAGGAGATCGATCGCGAGGCCCGACAGAAGGAGGACTCGGTTTAGGGATTTGAGGTTTGGGGTTTAGGGTTTATAGGGTTTTGAAGTTTGGGGTTTCAGATTTATAAGAGTTTAGGGTTTAGGGTTTCGAAGTTTGAGGTTTGGGGTTTAGGGTTTTGAGGTTTGGGGTTTGGGGGTTTAGGG